AGAGACTAATTATTTCAAAAACAAAAACTTTGTTCCAACTTTGACAGCACAGATATTAAACTGCTAAACTTCCAAAAAAAACAACAATCTATTGTCTTTTTAAAGTTCATTTTTGTTGCAAGTTAGAATTATTTGACCTTCATGTACAACAAAATTCAATATTGTTAATATTTGATATATTTCTAATGGCACAGGTTGTCTTAAAGCAAATATCTATTTATATTTGAATTATCAGTAGACAGAAACTGGACCAACACTGAAATATATCTTGTAGATTTGCTAATATTTAGAACAACGGAACCTAATGCAACAAAACCCTTTTCTTTTTTTATTTGCACAAATCTGATCTGAAGACTTAAACCAAAACCTTACCAGAGATTAACAAAATGGTGACAGAAGAGGGATTATTAAAATACATTAGGTAGCACCACATGGCAGTGACCTTTAACATTCTTAAGAACCATTGTAGAATTTGAAAAATCTGAGAAAAGATTTTTGTTTGTTTTGTTTTTTTTTTCAAGCTCGAAGAAGAGCTGGTTGGAATTGTAGAGGTGATTGGTATGGTGTCCAACAAGGGAGAAATAATGGCATCAAATTACAACGTGCTGCGAGAGGATAAAGGCATCGCATTTGGTAGGTTTGATTCTTCGCCTTTACCACGTTGAAACACAGCAGTGTTGTCTCATTACACACATTGTGTTCTCCCACAGACTTGGAGCTCTACAATGAAGCACTGAAAGTTGTCCATGATTTCCCCCAGTACTACCCGTTCGAAGCAGCTTCAAGTGGATAGCGTGCACAGTTGCTTTCACTCAAATTGTTGTTTTTTTCTGTTGTTTTAAGAAAATGTTCAAATATTTCTATTGACACATCTCTCAAAAAAAATAATAAAAAAAAGTCAATTTACAATTTTAGTTTTTATTTGAAGTAAACCGTTCGGCCTTAAATATATTTTTTCATAATTGACGGTAGAAATAAGAACTTAAGTGTTATGGTGTACACTTAATGCTATGTCCTACACAACAGATGCTGGTTTAGCGGCTGTTGAAACAAAATAAAACGGGAAAAAAATCCATTCCGTTATGGAAGCTTGTACCAAACAAGTAGCTCTTAGTATTATTAAGCACATTTGACTTAGCACACAGTTTTAAAAAGGTTGGTGACCCCACTGGTTTAGTAGTGAGAATTGAATCATGTTGTGCCACACTCTGGACAGCAGGGGGCAGTGAATCCAAACATCAAAAAGACAGATAGTAACGACGTCCTACTCTCAAACAGCTCCCATAATGTAGTAGATGGATAAGTAGTATAGATAATATAGTCACCAAAATATGAGAGTGTGATAGCGTAAAGTGACGTAATACGTAGCAAATCTTAGTCTTTGACTTAGGTTAACTTATTTAGACCTAATGAAAAAAAAATCCTTAAATGGGGTAAAAGGTAAATTGTCCATTGCTAATCTCCTTTTTCAAAACTATTAATATGTACAATACATTTTATATATTTAACATTTTATTTTGACTCTTTTTAAACTTTCTTTAAAATAGAGAACTACAGTGTCCCCTTTTTTTTATCATGGTTCTCCTTTCGCTCCCTCAGCACATCATGGATTTCTTTTTTAATCTGATCTCGCGAAATATTCACAGTGTGAAAATAACAACCATGTAAATTAAAAATGAAATTAAAGACATAAAATAATTATAAATGCGAAACATTTTGGCTTTAAAAATATGGATTCTCGTTTTGAAATTGAGAAAGTCTGATAGAGTAGAGTCTAAAAATGACTTCCACTCTTTCTCATAATAGTTTGGT